AAAGTATTCAGGAAATAAATGGCCACCTACCATGGACCTGAGGTGATGTGAATCTGCTCTTGTAAATGAAACACATCTGGCACTGCAGCTGCAATTGGAGCATGAAGAGGGAATGTGCGAAATGAGACTGGAAATGTAGGTTAGTTGCAAGTTGCTAATGGACCTGAAGGACTCACTATGGAATTAAACTTGACCCTGAACACAATGAGAAGACCTTACAGGTTTGGAAGCAATATATTCTATCCTCTCACTAGCTTCAAGCAGAAAACAATGCTTTCTAACATTTTAAGAGCTGCCAAATGACTGTCTCACTAGGCGGAAGGGATACTGTGTGCCAAAATGGGCTGCCCAGATCCTAACTTCAGGACTTAAACAGCCATTTTCATGGCTGCCAGAAGTGTTGACTGCTGAAGTCTCACGGCGCGGCCCCAACCACCATGATTTTCATATTTCCAACTCTTTGCACTTGGTATTCTTTCTCTGGAATATCTCCTCTTCTACCGACGCCTGAAGAAATTCTATTCATCCTTCAAGACTTCCTTCGGTGTCTCTTCTCATCCCAGGTAGGATTAACTGCTTATTCCTGTGTTTCTAGAGCATTTTATTCATCGTGTGGGTTTAGAACGGAAAGAGTTCTGTATATCATCTCCATCCATTTCACTGGCTCCCTAACTGCGTTGTGCATTTCTTGATGTTCAGGTCATGTTTCGTTTATCTTCATGTCACCAGAGGTTTGCACGGAGCCTAACAGTCAATGAATGATTACTGAATTCAGTTTTTTATTTAATTGAATCTTATTCTGGTGTAAAGAAAGGAAAAAAAAAACTCAGGCTGAGATCCACTTATTTATTCTCCCATAAAACATATTTTTTGCTGTCACCAAACGTGGGGCTCAAACAATACTTTCGTACTGGTACAACTTGTCATTCCAACTTTGTAAAGTAAAACTCTCACAAACCTAAACCTTTTTATCTTCCTTTTATCTGAATTGGAACTATTTAACCAGGAAGGCAAATTACTCTAATACCTTTACAAACTGTTTAAGTGTGTGTGTGTGTGTGTGTGTGTGTAGATGTGAGTTTGTGTTTGGAAACTCTCAAGACACTCTTTGATTCTTTCATCTTTTGTCTTCAAAGCATCAATTTAGTAACAATTAAAGCAACCAAATAGTGCTGAGGGCAAAGATGCCTTTGTTTCTATAGTCTCAAAATTACAAACTGTTTTTTATTTGGTAAATAGATTGAGGGCGTACAAGTGCATTTTTGTTACATGGATATATTGTGTAGTGGTGACATCTGGGCTTTTAGTTCAGTCATCAGCAGAATAGTGTTCATTGTACCCTATAGGTGATTTCTCATCCTTCACCTCCTCCCCCACTCTTATCTTTTGGAGTCTATTATTTGACTGTGTATGTCCGTGTGTGTACACTGTTTACCTCCCACTTATAAGTGGGAGAACATGCCGTATTTGACTTTCTATTTCTACATTGTAACTTAAGATAATAGCCTCCAGTTCCATCCATGTTGCTGCAAAAGATGTCATTTCATTCTTTTTTTAAGGCTGAGGAGTATTCTCTGGTATACACATACCACATTTTCTTTATCCATCATCTGTTGATGGACATTTAGGTTGATTTCTTGACTTTGCTGTTGTGAATGGTGCTGTGGTAAACACACAAGTGCAGGCGTCTTTTTTACATAAGGATTTCTTTTCGTTTGGTTAGATACTCGTAATTAGATTGCTGGATCAAATGGTAGTTCTATTGCTAGTTCTTTGAAGAGTCTCCCTACTGTTTTCTGTAAGGTCGTACTCATTTGCGTTACTATATAAATGGTCCCTTTTCTCCACATTCTTGCCAATATCTGTTGTTTTTTGCCTTTCTAGTAGCCATTCTGACTGGTGTAAAGTGATATCTCATTGTGGTTTTAATTTTCATTTCTCTGATGATTAGTGATGTTGGATATTTTTTCATATGTACGTTGGCTTCTTGTATGTCTTCTAAAAATGTCTGTTCATGTCCTTTGCCTACTTTTTAAAGGTTTTTTTTTTTCTGGTTGAGTTATATTGAGTTCCTTATCGATTTTAGATATTAGTCCTTTGTCAGATGCATAATTTACAAATATTTTATCCCATTCTGTATGTTGTCTGTTTACTCTGTTGATTATTTGTTTTGCTGTGTAGAGCTTTTCAGTTTAAGTTCCATTTGTCTACTTTTGGTTTTGTTGTATTTGCTTTTGAGGTCTTGGTCATAAGTTCTTTGCCTAAGCCAATGTTCATCTTGAGTTGTTGACTTTTGTACATCAGAGATATATGGGTCTTATCTCATCTTCTGTACATGGTTATCCAATTTTCCCAGCACCATTTATTGAATAGGGTGTCCTTTCCCCATTGTATATTTTTGTTGACTTTGCTGAAGATCAGTTGGTTTTAGGTATGGAGCTTTATCTCTGTATTCTCTAATCCATTACATTGATCTATGTGTCTATTTTTGTACCAGTACCACACTATTTTGGTTACTATAGCCTTGTAATATAATTTGAAGTCAGGCAATGTGATACCTCCAGCTTTGTTCTTTTTACTTAGTATTGCTTTGGCTATTTGGGCTCTTTTATGATTCCAGATAAATGTTAGGATTGTTTTTCCTAATTCTGTGAAAAGTGATGTTGGTAATTTGATAGGAATTGCATTGAATCTGTAGATTGCTTTCAGCAGTATGATCATTTTAACAATATTGATTTTCCCAATTCTTGAGCATGGGATGTTTTTCTATTTGTTTGTGCCATCTACGATTTCTTGCATCATTATTTTGTAGTTCTTGTGGAGATCTCCTGGGTTAAATGTATTCCTAAGGTTTTTAAAAAGGTATTGTAAATGGGGTTGAGTTCTTGATTTGGTTCTCAGCTTGATTGTTATTGGTATATACAAATGCTACTGATTTTTGTACATTGATTTTCTATCCTGGAAACTTAAGAAGTTATTTATTAAACCTAGGAGCCTTTCGGAGGAGTCTCTAGGGTTTTCTAAGCATAAACAAGATCGTATCATCAGCAAACAAAGATAACTTCCTTTTTTTCCAATTTAGGTGCCTTTTATTTCTTTCTGTTGCTTAATTGCTCTAGCTGTGACTTCTAGTACTATGTTGAATAGGAGTGGTGAAAATGGGCATCCTTGTCTTGCTTCAGTTCTTAGAGGAAATGCTTTCAACTTTTTCCCATTCAGTATGATGTTGGCTATGGGTTTGTCGTATATGGGTTTTATTGTTTTGAGGTATGTCCCTTTCATGCCTAGCTCATTGAGGGCTTTTATCATGAAGGTATGCTGAAATTTACCAAATGATTTTTATTCATCTGTTAGATGATCACATGGTTTTTGTTTTTAATTCTGTTTATGTGTTGAGTCACAATGACTGATTTTGCATATATTGAGCTATCCTTGCATCCTTTGAATAAAACCCACTTTATTCATGGTTTTTTATCCCTTTGACGTGCTGTTGAATTCAGTTTGTAGTATTTTGTTGAGGATTTTTGCATCTATGTTTATCAGAGATATTGGCCTGTAGTTTTCTTTTTTTGTTGTGTTCTTGCCTGGCTATGGTATCATGGTGATGCTGGCTTTGTAGAACGAGTTAAGAAGGACTTCCTCCTTCCTGATTTTTGGAAAGCTTTAGTAGGATTGATACCAGTTCTTTGTATGTCTCGTAGTACTTGGCTGTGAGTCTATCTGGTTCTGAGCATTTTGGTTGTGGGGACGAGATTTTATTCATTACTGATTCAATCTCACTATTCATTACTGGTCTGTTTAGCATTTCTGTTTCTACCTGGTTCAATCTTGGGAGGTTGCCTGTTTCCAGGAATTTATCCAATTCCTCTGGATTTTCTAGTTTGTGAGCATAGAGATGTTCATTGTATTCTCTGATGGTCTTTTGTATTTCGGTGGCATCAGACACATTCGGTTGTAATGTCTTCTTTTTCATTCCTGATTATGCATATTTGAATCTTCTCTCTTTTTTTCCTCGTTAATCTTGCTAGTGGTATATCAATTTTCTCTTTTCAAATGGCCAACTTTTTATTTTATTGATTTTTTTGTATTTTTTCTCTCAATTTCATTTAGTTCTACTCTGATCTTTGTTATTTCTTTTCTTCTGCTAGCTTTGACCATGGTTTGTTCTTGTTTTTCAGTGTGTTGAGACGCGGCATACAGAACATTCCACCCACAACCACAGAATATACATTTTCTCATCAGCATATGGAACATTTTCCAAATAGACCATGTTAGACCACAAAACAAGTTTCAATAAATTTTAACAAATCAAAATCATATCAATTATCTTCTCAGACCATGGTGGAAGAAAACCAGAAGTCAATACCAAGAGGAACACTAAAAACTTTGCAAGTACATGAAAATTCAACAACCTGCTCCTCAAGTATCTTTAGGTCAATGATGAAATTAAGATGAAAATTTAAAAATTTTTTGAAACAAATGAAAACATAGACATTACACACCAAAACCTCTGGATATACCAAAAGCAGTGTTAAGAAGGAAGTTCCAGCCTATGTCACAAACAAAGGTCAAAAGTTTACGACCCGATTTTTAGTTTTACACCAACTCCAATTCTTTTAAAAATTTGATTACAGGATAAACTATTTCCATGAAGGATTGTGAGTTTGACATGCGTTTACACCTTTTCAGGTATAAATATTCAGTGGAAGGATTCCCAGTACAAAGTTCTCAGCACATAACAACACCCTCTCACCATGTTTTCTAAATGTGAACCAGATTGACATACATACATCATTTGCCTGTGTCTGCATTATGGACCAAGTGTGTGCATTTTAGACAATAAAGAAGACATTTAAACAAGCTAGAAAATTGCCATACTAGTTAGACCCAACTCATCATTAACTTTAAAATCTTAAATCATAGTGGCTTAAATATATAGAAGAGCATAGAGTGCACACCATAGAAAACACATCTCTCTCATGCAAAAGTCCCTGATCCCCATGAGATCCATCTGCAACCAAAGCCCTTTGCCCCAGGTGCTGAACATCATGGACAAGAACCTGTCCTCCCACACCTCCCCTTTGCAGGCCCAGCTCACACATGACTTGGACATCTACTGGACAGCAGAGGTCAATGAGAAAGGTGACACAGTGGCCTTGTCCCTGAAGAAGTTCCTGAAGCAGGACACATATGACGTGCACCTTTCTCTGTCTGACCACGGCAACCAGGAGCAGCTGACAGTGATCAGGGCCACCGTGTTCGACTGCCATGGCCACGTGGAGACCTGCCCTGAAAGCTGGAAGAGGGGTTTCATTCTCCCTGTGCTGGGGGCTGTTCTGGCTCTGCTACTCCTCCTGCTCGTGCTGCTCTTGTTGGTGAGAAAGAAACAAAAGGTCAAGGAGCCCCTCCTATTCCCAGAAGATGACACCCATGACAATGTCTTCTACTATGGCGAAGGGGGGGGTGGCGAAGAAGACCAGGACTATGACATCACCAAGCTCCACCGATGTCTGGAGGCCAGGCCAGAGGTGGTTCTCTGTAATGACGTGGCACCAACCTTTATCCCTATACCCATGTACCGTCCTCAACCAGCCAACCCAGATGAAATTGGCAACTTTATAATCGAGAACCTGAAGGCAGCTAACACGGACCCCACGGCCCCACCCTACGACTCCCTGTTGGTGTTCGACTATGAGGGCAGCAGCTCCAATGCCATGTCCCTGAGCTCCCTCACCTCTTCCGCCTCTGACCAGGACCAAGATTATTATCTGAATGAGTGGGGCAGTCACTTCAAGAAGCTGGCAGACATGAATGGTGGCGGGGAGAAAGACTAGGTCACCTCCCAGCAGGGCTGGGGACTCAGTGTCAGGCCATAGAGCATGTCCAAGGGGTCTCAGTACCCCCTTCAGCCAAGGACTTTGGAGCTTGTCAGGAAGTGGCTGTAGCAACTTGGAGGAGACAGGCTGCAAGTGTGACATTAGAGGGGTTGGTTCCTTAGCCTTTGAAAATGGAGGAATGTGGGCAGTTTGACGTCAGCACTGAAAACCTCTTCACCTGGGCCAGGGTTGCTTCAGGCCAAGTTTCCAGAAGCCTCTCACCTTCGGTAAAGTGCTCAGCCCTGTGTCCTGGGACAGCGGTGACTGACCCATGATCACTTTCTTTCTGGAATGGACCCTTCTTAGGCCTCCTGGTGCAACTTAATTTTTTTTAAATGCTATTTCAAAAAGTTAGAGGTGGTTCTTGGAAAGCGCAGCCCCGAGCTGCTGGGCCCACTGGCCATCAAGCGTTTCTGGTTTCCAGACCCCCAGGCCTCCCATTTGGTTAGATCTCTGCGTTTTTATACTGAGTGTGTCTAGGTTGCCCCTTATTTTTTAATTTTCCCTGATGAGCGCTGTAGATGAAGGGTGAGGACAATTGTGTACATGTACTAGAACTTTTTTTTATTAAAGAGACTTTTCCCAGAGGTTAAAAAAAAAAAAAAAAATTGAGAGCTTCCAGGGCATCTCCATGATTATCTGAGCCCAGGTGAATCCGGCTTTCTGTTGACCAACCCGAGAGTCTGGTCCTCATTCTCGTGGCACTCCATGATATCTCCATTGCAATACCGAATGGATGAAGTGGAGGAGAAAGGGTGTCCATCTTCCCCACGCCCCTTTAGAGACCTGTCTTGGAACTTGTGTATATCAGTTTCTCTCATATCCCATAGGCCAGAACCTAGTTCTGTGACTACAAACAGCTGCAAATGAGACCAGGAAATACAGATTATTTTTAGAATGGCCATGTGCCCAGCTAAGGATTGATGGTTCTGTTACTGAAGCAAAAGGAGAAAACATACATTGGGGACCACTGATATCTCTGCCACATGTACACATACCAAAGAGAAAACACAATGCTCAGTTGACATTTTGCAAAATAATAAATTGGAGGATTCCAGCTTTGGGGACACTGTCTTTGTTTATCTTCATTTCTTCCAGTTGCCCTAGTAAACCCCCTGCTCCCATTTCCTGTTTTCGTGTCTGAAGCCATGTGTTCATCAGAGCCTCTATAGCTTGGCAGGCTCACTCCACAGAGGGCCTCCACACTGGCTTTGCTTATTCAGGAATGTAGCTAATCTACACCCCAAGAGCTCTGAGCATTGGATTCATTTGGCAACAATCATTTATTTATAAATAATCATTAACCTTTTCTTTCATGTTTTGGTTTGCATTTTGTTTGCTAAAGTTAAAACACTGATTTTCTGAGGGTTAGAAAAATAACTCCAGCAAGCTGAGAAAAAGAATGAGGGACATAAGGTGGGAGTGAGAAACTGAAGTTAAAAACTACTTAAATGGTTCTCTTGGAGTTGCTTCAACTACCCAGAGTAGTGGAATTTTCCATCTGTTTCTCTTTCAACCTGGAATATTTATTACTTTCATAAACCACATCAATGCTAAAATATGTTTAAGGGGAAGACTGCTGTAAGCTTGACATTATCCTTGTTGCTGCAGGATATTAAAAAAATGTATAAATGTCCTAGACTTTGGTGGGTAATCTACTCAGACAAATTAGACAAGGGTATGAATTTGGTCAGGACAAAATAGGCTATGCCGCAGTAACAAATAACTTGTGAAACTGCAGTGATTTAACACAAGAAATCTGTATTGCCTACTCACCTTTCATTGCGAGGCAGGTCTGACAGTCTTATAGGACTGCCAACTGGAACTCAGGTCCTTCAAATTTGCCACGGAAGGACAGGGAGGGCTACTGCTTACAGTATTCAGAACATTGACATGTTGTACAGGTCTGTAGCCTGGGAGCAATGGCTATACCCTAAAACCTAGGTGTGTAGTAGTCTGTGCCAGCTCTGTGTAAGCACGCTCTGATGTTCGCACCTTGATGAAAGAGCCTGACGATGCAGAATGTATCCCCATTGTTAAGCAGCACATGACTATACCTAAATTATATTAGCTTTCAATATTACTTCAAAGACTTTATATTTTTATCAGTCCAATATACCATTCTTTTATATTTTCTCTAAATTTTCCATGGCATCCTTCTTAAGAATCTGTGCATGGCTATTTCACTTAACCTAATGACTTTCAAGTCTATCCATCTTTTTGCAAATGATGGGATTTCATTCTTTTTTAGACAAATATTGCATGTTCTCATTCATATGTGAGTGAGGACTCCAAGTTAATCTCAAGGAGGCAGAGAATATAATGGTGGTTACCAGAAGCTGGAAAGCGTAAGGAATGGCATAAGAAAAGCCAGTTAATGGGTATAAACACAGGGTTAGATGGAAAGAATCAGTTCTATTTTACAGTAACATGGTGGGTGACTATAGTTAACAACAACATATTATATATTTCAAAATAGCTAGAAGAGAAGATTTGAAATCTTCCCAACAGAAAGAAATAGTACATGTTGGAGGTGATGGATATCCTAAATATCTTGATCATTACACATTGTATGTATATATCAAGATACCACATGTACTCCATAAATGTATACAATTATTATGTAACAAGAAAAAATTGTAATGTAAGATTCTAAACAATAAGAACCTGACCAGGAGTGGGAATAAAAGGAAGATTGGCAGGACCAACTAGTGTGGGGGCCAGGGGTCAGATCTGTTTTGTTCGATGCTAAATACTATGCCTTGATCCACATCTGATGGTAGGAGATCAATAAAATAAACAACACCCTGCCCCCACCATCCTTCATCCAACCCATTGGCTGTTGCTATCACCAGTTCAAAGGAGTAGATGACACTTTGATGAAAGATGACATATCATTGCCTATGGCAGCATTCAAAGTGGCGACCACAGGAAAAAGTTTTATCAGAGAGTCTGGATCAGAAGAATATTATTACACCTGCAGTAACTGGAGCATTTAATCATTTAAGAGCCAAAGCAGGACTGGGAAAACATTGTAGGGAATAAAAAGAAAGAGAGCAAGTCAGAAAAGAAAAAAGACAACATTAAAAACACAAAATAAAAACACTACATCTGACGTGGGTGGATCACTTGAGGTCAGGAGTCTGAGACCAGACAAGCTAACACAGTGAAACCCCATCTCTACTAAAGATGCAAAGCTTAACCAGGCATGGTGGCACATGCCTGTATTCCCAGCTACTTGGAAGGCTGGGGCAGGAGAATTGATTGAACCTGAGAAGTGGAGGTTGCAGTAACCTGAGATCACACCCTGTACTCCAGCCTGGGTGACAGAGCAAGACTCTCTCAAAAAACAAACAAACAAAAACAAAAAACAAACAAAAAAATACACTCGATTTTGCCTGGTGACTGTATGTCTTTGTAAACTCACATTTAGAATGACAGCAGTTTATCAGGGAGAATTATGTGTTGACTTAGTACTGGTCACAGATGTTTCTTGGACATAATCATCATTATAAAATATTTTGGAAGTTTATAAGTAAGCAGAACACACAATGTCATGAGATAGACGAGATAGCCTACTGACATGGCCAGTATTCTCAGGGCCGTACATTTAGTGTTTTAAATCATTGACCAGCTTTAACTCCACCAAGTTCCTGAAGGTCTTCAGAGCATGAGGCCGCACAAAATCATGTTCGTTCATGAGCGTTTACAAGAGGGAAGCAACTAGGAGAAATCAGAGGCTCTTTAGGGCCAACTGACACTTCCTGGCTCTGATTGGTGAAGCTCCCATTTAGGTCAGTGAGAAAGCCAAGAGCTATGGACTCATTTATGAGCCAAATCAATCCCCTTAAAACATAGTGGGAATAAAATACTAGGAGACTTGCAAACCCTCTCTTTAAAAATTCAAGATAAGGAGCCTTGGTCCTGGCTGGGCAATGGGCCACAAATTCACAGCTAAGCCATGACAAGGGCTATTACTGTCATTGTATATCTAGGGCTGACTGTCCAGAGCCATTCTGAGTGAGCTAAGGTGCACAGCTGAGTTTGTAGCCAAATAATTTAATTTGGAATCAAGTTGCTAGAGGAGAAGCAACCGTAAAGTATGTACAATTATGATTTGTCATTTACAAAATAAAATTAAAACAAGCAAACAAAAAACAGTCATTAAGGCCATGTATGGCCCTCGTGCCTCTGGCTTTCCACCTGGGATATGGAGGGAGGAAGGACTAAGACTCGTTCATGAGGTGGAACTAACTAAAGCAGAAAATGTGTGTAGGAAAAAGCTAGGAGAGTTTGGTGGGTTGGGACCAAAGGCAGGACTGTGACTCAGAAACAAAGCAAGGGAAGATGGGGGAGAGACTGCAAAGCTGACAGGTCATAGAGATTTCTGTATGTTTGGTAGCGTTATGCTGAAACTGTATATTTAAAAAGAATTATCTTTTTCCCATCGAAATGTGTTCAGACCAGCAAGGCAAGATAAACCAGCTGGAATTTATTGCTCCTGTATGTATGTCTGTGAGCAATGAGGGCTTGATTTTGTTATTAATTATGGGAGGAAACGCCTGGGGCGGTGACTTCTTTTGAATTCCTCTGATTTATTAATCTCAAGTGTTGTATACCAAAGAAAGATCTCAAAACAAATGAATAGCTGGGTATGGTGGCTGGAGCCTATAATCTCAGCCACCTGAGAGGCCAAGGTGGGAGGATTGTTTGAAGAGAGGAGTTGAAGATTTACCTGGAAAACAGAGCAAGACCTCCTTCTTTATAAAAAAATAAAATACCAAAAACTTAGCTGGGCATGGTTGCATATGCTTGTAGTCCCAGTTGCTAAGGAGGCTGAAGTGCAAAGGTTGCTTGAGCTCAGGAGTTTGAGGCTGCAGTGAGCTATGATCATACCACTGCACTCAGCCGGGGAGACAGAGCAAGATCCTGTCTCAAAACAAAACAAAACAAAAAAAGAACAAACAAACAAACAAGTTATCATGGACCAGGGACATCCATGGTGCCTATTTTAGCGACTCACTTTTGACATGAGATCATTAGGAAGGAAAAGAGTTTGAGGAGGAACAATTTAGAGGGGGGAGGGAAAGGACATTCTATTTATTATACTTGTCAAGTGCTATTTTTATTTACTGGGTATTTTAAATTATTTCATCTAATAGTCACTGTATTTTTTTAAATTATGGATAAGGAGACAAAGACTCAGTGTGTTTTAGAAATTCGCCAAGGTCACACAGTTTCTGGCAGAGCAGGTCATTAACCAAAGTGGCCAGAGCAGAACTTTCTGAATCATCGCAGGAGCACATGGTTTGTTTTGGAGCTTTTGGTTTTTGTCTGGGACTTGATGCTGTAGTCCCACAGGTGGATTTCTTCTTCATCAAGGACACCTCAGTTTTGCTCTTAAGGCCTTCACCTGATTGGATGAGGCCCACACACATTATCAAGTGTAATCACCTTTACTTAAAGTCAACTGGTTGTACATGTTAACTACATCTATGAAGCAATTCCTAGTTTACTCACTGACTGAATAAATGGGTGCTGTAACCAAGCCGAGTTGACATAAAACTAACATCACCCTCCCCCAAACTCACATAATTCTCTTTTATAATACAAAGATAATCCTGACTGAGAAATCAAAGAAAGCAGTGCTCCTTTCTGATATCAAGGATTCCCTTTGGGGTCAGGAATGATATTCGACTTCTTGCCTGCAGTGATCAGATGAGGGTAATTAGCATATCCATCATCTCAAACGTTTATTATTTCTTTGTGTTGGGAACATTTGATATCCTCCTTCGAGCAATCTGAAATTATATGTTATAGGTCACTATAGTCACCCCACAGTGCCTAGAACCCTAGATCTTACTCCTCCTACCTAGCTGTTATTCTGCATCCTTTAACACAGTGGTCCCCAACCTTTTTGGCACCAGGGACTGGTTTCGTGGAAGACTATTTTTCCATGGACCAGGTTGGGGGCAATGGTTTTGGGATGA